AAAATGAATTTTTCGTAACTCGAATGAAAAAGATAAAAATTGCAATTTATCAAAAAATAAGGTTTTGAATTTTTATAAATTTGACACGTATTTAAAAACTTTCTATTTTTCACTTGAGTCACGAAAAAATTATTTTAATAAACTGACTCGTTTACTTGGTAAGATCTATGATCGAAGTTTTATGTTCCGAATTCTGTTTCCTTATCACAAAATTATCATTATTTTCTTTGATTTATTATTAAAAAATACAGAGAATTGAATGTAACTTGGAATTTCTATATGAATACTAATATATAGTACATAAACTTAGAATTAGAAAATCATTTCGCTTCAAATCTGGAAATGCTGAACCTTACGCATAAATAAAGAAGATTCACTAAATAAGATTTACTAAATGGTGATAATTTGAAATCTGAAATCGCTTTGCGATGAATGTTTCATTGCAACTACTATAAGATTTTTGTTCAAACTAATAATTATTTACATAAAAAATTTATCACATATGCTATACTGAAGGCTTCAAAACAAAAAGAAAGATTTCGAATATAAACTCATTCTATGCAATGAAGTTTTTATTTTGAAATCTGCAATGTTTATGTGATATACTAATAAATTGTAAGATACCTGTTAAAATTAATAGATATTTACGTCAAATTATTCATTACCTATTTCAAATTAAAGACCCACAAACATTCTCTACAGAGTTCATATACTTGAAATCTGATAGTGGTAATGTAAAATCAAATAAAGAACAAAGACGGTTTAATAACCTAAGCTAGATTTGAGATATAAACTCAATGTGTACGATGAAAGTTTTATATTATGCTAATAGAATATCATCTAAGAGAAACAATAGCATCTGCACTAGTCAATTCCTATATGATAACTCTCATTCTGTTCACTTTCGAATTCATTCGTAATATGCAGTTTCAATCTTCGCGCGTCGGGTGGTCCCAGAAAATGGCGGCTTCCGGCTGATGGCTTAACTCTTACTAGAGGAACTCTAGTTCCAAATGAGTGCGTCCTTTTCTAGATAGAATTACCCCCATTCCTCAAATTTCCGACAATGCGTACTCTAGTACTACTATCTCTATGGTTTACACCCTACGTTTAGGCCGCCACCTATACTCTAAGGGTCTGAGCACAAGCACTGCCGTAACATTTTACGACACACTTAAGTTGTAGACTTAAATAACGCACAAGCTTTGGCGTATCGGCGTATGACGTGTTTATGCACGCTATAGAAAGATATGGCAATAATGTACATAAACACGTATTGTATCATACGCCGATACGCCAAAGCTTGTGCGTTATATACGTCTACAACTTAAGTATGTCGTAAAATGTTACGGCAGTGCTTGTGCTCAGACCCTAAATCTAATCTAAACACGACAGGTCGCAACGGTGTAAATAGCTGTAACCTCGCTTAGATGAGGGATCTTTTTCAAGATCCCTGACCTCTCTTAGGCCGCACGACCTACCTAGCTTTAACGCATGTAAACGTAGGGCGCAGGCAGACGGCCTAAAGGCGTAAAGTGTACTAAGAAACGTGAGACTAAATGCGACCTACATTAGGCCCAAAAATATTATAGGTCTATATGCGGTAAACGCTCCATACGAGACCATTCTTAGGTGGGATATAAGTTAGGGTATAGGTCAGGTCGTTAGGTGTAAACTAGGCTAATGGCTGATATGGCAGATTACGTTCTATATCTGATGCGTTTTTGTAGTCATGACGTGACGGCAGGCTGTGCTCAATTTTTGCTGCGTTTTTGCTGTCATAATATGACAATAAGTGTGCCAGATTTTTAACAACATTTTGCTGATTTAACATGTAGTCATGTTTCATATCAAGTTTTGATATTTTTTATTATATTGATGTTTATTCTATTTTTTGTTAATTTATTTTGTCAGCATGTATTATTCGATTTCTGCTTGCTTTATTTCGGCAAAGTTTGATGAATTTTTACAGAATTTTTGCTAGTGTATTATGACGCAGATCTGCTCAATTTTTAGTGTATTTCTGTTATGGCTGCACTGAAACGGTAAACCGTGTTCGACTGCTGCTCGATTTTTGCCATTATAATATGTAGCATAAATTTGCAATGCGTGCTTCTGGTGGGTTTGGCTATCTGGGTTACTTTCAACAAAGTTCTTTAATTTTTGAATATAGTTAATATAATTTAGATTAGATTAGTTTTAACCAGGGAATGGAAAGTTACTTTTTAAAAATAACTAGTTACAGTTACTCGTTACCGAGTAAAAAATGTAACTAGTTACAGTTACAGTTATCGCTTTTTAAAAGTAACTCGTTACAGTTACCGTTACTTGAAAAATAACTTTTCGTTACTTTTCCGTTACTTTTTTAAAATCAATTTAAAAATGTATTTTTGCATTTTTTTTTTTTATATGTAATACTGACAAATATATAGTTTTTTTAAAAAAAAAAAAAACAATGTAGAATGGCTCAAATAATAAATTAAATAATAGTAAAATGAGAAGGGTTACGAGCCAAAAATGAAACAGTTTATTTCCGATAAGAACGACGATGACAATGTAATTAAATGTATAAATATATATTAGAACAATACATAGATAAAACAAGATAAAAACAAACGACGTTTCGACACTTATTGTCATCGTCTTTTAAACTGTTTCGCTTTTGGGTTCATAGCCCTTCTCATTTTACTATTATTTAATTTATTTTTTAATTTTTTTTAAACACAATTTTGTAATTCTAAAACCTGTAAAATATGCAGCAAATTGAAATATTTGTATGTCCTATGTATTACATAGAAGATAGAAGTGTAAAATAATTACTGAATCATAACGGCCGAATGTCTAAGGGCTTTCAAGTCTTATTGATAAGCGCTATAAATAGCATGTATCCAATCGAACCGTGTTCAATCGTGTGCAAAGTAACGACAAAAGTAACTGTAAATTTCGTTACCGTTACCCAAAAAATGTAACTCGTTACCGTTACAGTTACCAAAAAAAGAAAGTAACGCAGTTACCAGTAAAGTTACCAAAAAAGTAACTTGTAACTGTAACTTCGTTACAAGTAACGAGTTACTTCCATTCCCTGGTTTTAACATTGCATTATGTAAGTATGTGAGTATACATATAGACAGTGTTGGAACAGATACCGTTTGAAAGGTATCTAGATATAGATATAGGTATTGTATGGCAAAAGTATTTAGATATAGTTATAGATACATTTTTTTACAATTACCTAGGTATAAGTACAGATATAAATAAAAAGTACCTGAAAATTTAGATACTTGTTAGGTACTTAAAAAAATTTTTTTTTTTTTAGTGGAGAAACAGGAAAAGAGAAAGTAATAAACAACTTAAATTAAATATCACATTTTATATCTCTATTTATTTAACATATAAAGAAATATAAAATAATATTATTAATATTTGTTTGAATAAATCCAAGTGGTATTGACAATGCCTAATTCGACTCAAACACTGAGGAGAGGTTACGCTCTGCTCTTCACCGATTTTGATCAAACTTGCAGCGATGTTAGAGGAGCCTATCAAATGAACACCTGTAAAGCCGTTCGCTCCATTGGGCCTTAGAAGCCGAGTAATGATCATTTAAAGATATACCAAAAATCTGGAAAACGGTCTAATATCTCGGAAAGTATGCATTTTTGAGAAAAATATCTTAAACAAAAGTGATAGGGTTTATTCAGATGTATATACTAGTCTTATAGGTTGACCTATACCTTATAGATTGACCGTGACCTTGACTTGACCTTGACGATGGCGCCCAAGGTCAAACCTATAAGACTAGTATATACATCTGAATAAACCTTATCAGTTTTGTTTAACACATTTTTCTCAAAAATGCATACTTTCCGAGATATTAGACCGTTTTCCAGATTTTTGGTATATCTTTAAATGATCATTACTCGACTTCTAAGGCCCAATGGAGCGAACGGCTTTACAGGTGTTCATTTGATAGGCTCTTCTAACATCGCTGCAAGTTTTATCAAAATCGGTGAAGAGCAGAGCGTAGGCTCTCCTTGTGAGTGTAGTCGTGTATTATATGTCAGCTTTATTGTTGCAATTAAATACAATTCTCAAACGTTTCAATCCCGCTTCGGATCCTCATCAATAATTTGCATGTTCCGATTATCAAAATGTTTCCTAATACAATGATTAATCGGAGCTAATGATGTTAGTATGTTCACAATTAGATAGTTGAAATGTGGTAATCGGAACATGCAAATCATTGATAAAGATCCGAAGCGGGATCGAAACGTTTGAGAATTGTATTTAATTGCAACAATAAAGTTGACATATTCTACACGACTACACCCAGTGTTTGACTCAAATTAGGCATTGTCAATACCACTTGGATATAAAGAAATGTTTCAAACGTATTTAAAAAACATAGAGATCTCTCTAACATCTTCAAAAGCATAGAGACTACAAAACATAACTTTGTAACGTGAGAAATAGCTATGTACAACATTAATGGTGGCGACAGTGTATAATACCTGTAACTATGTATCTAAAACTTAAAAGATACCGTATTAAAAAATAACTAGATACGGATACAGGTATCTCCGTCTATAAGGATCTAGGTAATACACTTAGGTACAGCTAAAGTATCTAGATACTGTATCTAGGTACTTTTACCTAGATACGTTCCAACACTGGAAATAGACAAACTCACTTTGAACATACCTGGATCATAACATCCCAGGTAGCAAAATGCTAGCAATATGCCAGCAGTATGCCAGCAAACTTGGATCATGACGTTACAGCAGATATCAAGCTGCTGCTTCCTCATTAAGCTTAGTTTCTAACAGCTTAGCCTGCCAACATAATACAACGATAAAAATACAACAAAAATCAATCATTATTTGCTATCACATCGTGACAGCGAAACGCGGTAAAAATACAACACAACCTGACATAACCAGTACTGACAACAAAAATCGAGCACAGTCTGCCGTTACATGTAATCGCAAAAATGAAGCAAGAAATGACGTTTCAAATAATAGGTTAATTTACTAAAAGTTATAAATATTTTTAGTTTAGAGGATTAAATATGTATATACAATATATGTTTTCAAAATTTATTACATTTATCTTATATATATTACATAAATTACACAAAATTCCATAGATGTATGTATATATTGTATATAAAATATTATTTGAATAATTATATATTATAATAAAATATTATAATAGGTACTCTCTCTCTCTCTCTCTCTCTCTCTCTCTCTCTCTCTCTCGGGTGGAGAATCAAAAATTCAAAACGTAGTCCTGTGTATCTCCTACACACAAGACTGTCAGGAATATGCTCGATGCTCGATCTGGCGTTCCTGATATACAGGCGCTGGATCGATTTTCCGCGCGAGATTTTTATCGCGGCGCGAGCCCCCTGGTGTGCAGTCGCGGTAATTCGCGCGGCGCGAGAAGAGCACTCGCGAGAAAGTGGCGTCATTAAGGTGCTAATACTTTTTCAACTAATCAGGATACAGCGATGCACATCCAACGTTCATGCGTCCTGTGTACGATCCGTTATGTCGTAACGGCAGGCTGTGCTTGATTTTTACTGCGTTTTTGCTGTCATAATATGACAATAAGTGTGCCAGATTTTTAACAACATTTTGCTGATTTAACATGTAGTCATGTTCTATATCAAGTTTTGATCTATTTTTCGTTAATTTATTTTGCCAGCATGTATTGCTCGATTTCTGCTTGCTTTATTTCGGCAATCGTTTGATGAATTTTTACAGAATTTTTGCTAGTGTATTATGACTCTATTTTTGATGTAATTCTGTTCGCTATACTGAAACGGTAAACCGTGTTCGACTGCTGCTCGATTTTTGCCATTATAATATGTAGCATAAATTTGCAATGCGTGCTTTTGGCAGGTTTGGCTATCTGGGATGTTTCCCGTCGATAGTCCCTATGCAATTCGAAAAGTTCCATCTTCTTCTTCTTCTAAATTTAAGTGGCCCAAGTTTCGTAGCAAGCCGGATTATCGTGGCCAGTCTGATCCCAGGGACACCACCAACCTTCCACAAGATGTCCTCATAAAAGAACTGGAATGAAGACCGCGCAATTAACGCGGCAAATCTGCAACAGACGTAGAAGGACGCCGCGCACCGCCCCCCCGGCGGATCCCCGAGAAACAAATTCTCGGGGGGACGCCGGAGGGAGACAGGGAGGGGAGGGCGATACGCCTCCCCACCAGTGCACTACGATTAAACGGAGATCCCGATGGATTTGAAGAAGGACAAGAAAAGTCTGCAGAGTTTATGGGAAGGTTTGGCAAGAGGAAGAAATGCATTACGCGCGTGTGAAGGGAATGCTCTGTTAAGATAACGTACCAAAGATCTGGCTTTAATTCTAGTCAGCGGGCAGTAAAACACTATATGATTCAGATCCTGGCGAGGATCGCCACAAACGCAAGCAGGAGATTGTACCATATTTTTTCTAAACAGGCTATAATTCAGGTTGTAGTGGTTAGATCTCAGTCTGTTAATTAAAACAATCTCGCTTCTGTTTAGAGCAGACTTGTAGTACCAAGGTTTCGCAGAAGGAGCCGGATTGTAAAGCAAATGATATTGAGTGCTCGTGGATAAGGCTTTGTCATTTAGATAGGCCTGGAAACGAATTCGGGCCTTGTCTACAGCCTGTATCTGTAAATCCGGGAAGGGAGTACGGAAAAAACCCTTTGCACCGTCCTTGCAAGCCTCCTTGGCTGCTTTATCCGCTACCTCGTTTCCCATAATGCCTTTGTGAGAAGGGATCCAGAAGAGAGAACACACAATTTTGCGTTCTGCCAGTTGAAGTAGGGCTTCCTTGATTTTGTGTATAATATAGTTGGAATTAATTAGTTTATGTGATGCGACGGCTTCCAGAACGCTGCGCGAATCAGAAAAGATGAAAACCGTAGAGTATCCTGCATCCAAAGACAGGATCAGAGCCTGGTATATGGCCCAGGCCTCCGCGGAAAAAACAAAAGAGCTGGAGGTCAGTTTATACTTGAAGCAATGCCTTAGTTCCGGGGAGAAGAAGGCCGCACCCACACTCCCATCTTCAAGTTTTGAGCCATCGGTGTAAAATGAGAGCCCATCAGGGACCAGTTCTCGCAGATTCTGTAGTTGGTCACTAAAAACTTAAATAATTTCATTATTACAGGCTTCCTTGGAGTAGGTAATAAAGTTGTCGAAGTCCTTGCAATACATAAAAGCACTCAAGCTGCTTCCCAAAGCCGGAATAGAATAAGAGCGATGCATATGAAGTTTTTCATGCTTGTTAGCGATGTAGCACTTAAGAGACGGAGACTTGGTAAGGGCAAATACCCTCTTCGCGGGTGACGCCAGGCCACACTCCAGGTCCATGACACTGTCAATGACCAAAGAGTTACTGTAAGACATGCGATTGAAAATAAATCTTTCACTAAGCAGATTAAATCTGAGTCTAAATGGCAGTTCTCTTGCTTCGCACAAAATAATATTGATCGGAGTAGATATGCGGTATCCCATTGAGGCTCTGATAGCTTTATATTGCAATCTTTCCAGGCGTAGCAGTACTCTGGCATTGCCCTTCCAGGAAAAAATGGAGCATGCATATTCCACGGCGGCTCTAAAAATAGCTCTGTAAATAGTGAGCAGGTGGGTGAGATCCCCACCAAACGGCAGTGAGTGACAGGATAATGTTGGTCAATGCTTTACCCTTCTTGACTAAATATTCATAATGATAATTGCCTATTAAGCGATGGTCCAGAATCACACCCAAGAATCTAACTTTATCGACTCTGGGAATCAAGCTCAAATCTACGAAGAGAGAATAGTCAGGGATAGGTGTGCGCCTGCCAGCAGTAAAAATCATCCAATTGGATTTCGATGGAGAGAGAGTGAGGCCTTTGCCTTCTAAACACGCGGATATGTCATACAGGGCCTTTTGAATATTGGATGCAGCAGTAAGTGGGGAACTGTCGGACGAAAATAGAACAATGTCATCAGCATATTGTAGAAAGTTAACGTTACCATTTATGCATGTATTAAGTTTGCAAAGAGCAATGTTGAAAAGCAGAGGACTAAGAGTAGATCCCTGCGGTGTGCTTTTGCGCGATAATCTCGTTTCCCCAATTGATCCATCAGTTAAGAACTGCACATGTCTCTCTGAGATAAGATTTTCCACAAGTTTTCTAATAGAGGCAGGAACGCCAGACGATTTGAGTTCTTCCAAAACCGCAGAAGGTAAAATGTTGTCGAAAGCTCCAGCAATGTCCAAGAAAACTGCAACAGTGTAAGCATTATTTGAAAGAGCCAGGCAGATCTGATTCGTAAAGGTGACCAAGCTGTCATTGCAAGATCTGTTAGGGCGAAAGCCCATTTGCTCGTTTGGTAAGACTACTTGAGATTCCACAAGCCACATGAGCCTCCAGTAAATAATCTTCTCGAAGACTTTAAGTACACATGAAAGTAAGGAGATAGGTCTAACTCCAGAGCCGCCAGGCTTGGGTATGAAAATCACCAGTGACCTCTTCCACTCTTCAGGGACGACGCCTTCCTCCAGGAAGCGGTTAAATAAATTCACAAGAAGTTCTTTGAAATCAAACGGTAAATGCGATAACATGCTGTTAGAAATTCTATCAAGGCCAGGAGCAGATTTCTTGTTAACCGAAGCAATAGCCAGGTCCAAATGTTCCATAGTGACTGGAGATTCAAGCTCCTTTAGAACGTGGTCATTCAATTCATCCTCCTCTTTCATAATATCGAACTCAGAAGGAGGATTAGGCAGACAGGATGGAGGGCAGATTTTTAGAATAGCCTCTTCAGTAAGCTGTTTAATTTTTGAGTAGTCATGAGTATCGTTTGGCATGGCGAGATTACGTCGTTTAAAAGCCTTCACCAGCGACCATAGTGTAGTGGTAGGAGTTTTGCAGTTAAAAGTACCCACAAACGTTCTCCAACTCTTCCTCTTCTCTCTATAAAGGATTTTTGAGCACTTAGCCCTCTCTCTCTTATAGGCATAAAAATTTTCAACTAACGGATTACTTTGCCAAGTCTTTGCAGCCTCCTTGCGGGCATCAACAGCTTCCTGGCATTTATTTGACCATCAGGGCGGCGCGACCTTTTCGCTTTTGATCACTACAGTACCAGGAGATGCTTTCTTATAGGGACAAGAGGAACATGAAACCGCAGTCTTAATTATATGTTCCGATAGACTCGAGTAAGCTTCACGGGAGTCCGGAGGTAGATCTTTAGCAAAGGAAGCAAAAGAGTCGTCCAAAGCAACAGCAAAGTTCTTCAATTCCTGATTATTAAGGTTTAATTTATAAGCAAAACGCTTGTGTTGAGATGGATTAATGCCGACCTCAACCCTGATGGAGAAGTGGTCGCCACCCCAAGTATCTATCTCTGTAGAAACCTCGCACAAAGGTGCAATATCCGGAGTCAGAATCAAATCGATGACTGAATGTCCCGAAGAAGGGGGTAGAAGAAGCGAGGGTCGGAGGTCGCTAAGTATGCAAATAGAGGCATTCTCACAAGTTGCCAAAATACGATTACCCGCTCGATCCGAGGTAGAGCATCCCCAATGAGAGTGATGAGCAGTGTTCGATCTTATCTGGATAAAATTATCTAGATGATCATCTAGATGAAATTTTGATGCCATCTCATCTTTATCTAGATAATAAAAATATTAATTATCTTTATCTGCATTTTAGATGAAAAAAAGTATTATCTTTATCTAGAATAATGTTTAGATACTTTGGTTCATATTTTA